GATGGAATCACAACTAGACGGAGTGTCACCCAACTACACCGGGGAAATCACAACTTCACAGAGGTAATCACAACTACACCGAAGGAATCACAACTACACCCAGGGAATCACATCTACACGGAGTGGAACCCAACAACACCGAAGGAATCACGACTACACCGAGGGAATCACGACTACACAGAGGGAATCACAACTACATGGAGTGGAACCCAACTACACCGAGGGAATCACAACTACACGGAGTGGAACCCAACTACACCGAGGGAATCACAACTACACGGAGTGGAACCCAACTACACCGAGGGAATCACAACTACACGGAGTGCAACCCAACTACACCGATGGAATCACAACTAGACGGAGTGTCACCCAACTACACCGGGGAAATCACAACTACACCGAGGGAATCACGACTACACCGAGGGAATCACAACTACACGGAGTGCAACCCAACTACACCGATGGAATCACAACTAGACGGAGTGTCACCCAACTACACCGGGGAAATCACAACTTCACCGAGGTAATCACAACTACACCGAAGGAATCAGAACTACACCGAGAGAATCACAACTTCACCGAGGGAATCACAACTACACCCAGGGAATCACATCTACACGTAGTGGAACCCAACTACACCCAGGGAATCACAACTTCACCGAGGTAATCACAACTACACCGAAGGAATCACAACTACACCGATGGAATCACAACTTCACCGAGGGAATCACAACTACACCCAGGGAATCACAACTACACGTAGTGGAACCAAGCTACACCGAAGGAATCACAACTACACTGAGGGAATCATAACTACACGTAGTGGTCCCAACTACACCGAGGGAATCACAACTACACCGAGGGAATCACGACTACACCGAGGGAATCACAACTACGCGGAGTGGAACCCAACTACACCGATGGAATCACAACTACACCGACGGAATCACAATTACACGGAATGCAACCAAACTACACCGAGGAAATCACAACTTCACCGAGGGAATCACAACTACACCAAAGGAATGACAACTACACCGATGGAATCACAACTACACCGAGGGAATCACAACTACACGTATTGGAACCCAACTACACCGAGGGAATCACAACTTCACTGAGGGAATCACAACTTTACCGAGGGAATCACAACTACACCGAAGGAATCACGACTACACCGAGGGAATCACGACTACACCCAGGGAATCACAACTACACTGAGGGAATCATAACTACACGTAGTGGTCCCAACTACACCGTGGGAATCACAACTACACTCAGGGAATCACAACTACACGTAGTGGAACCAAGCTACACCGTGGGAATCACAACTACACTGAGGGAATCTTAACTACACGTAGTGGTCCCAACTACACCGAGGGAATCACAACTACAACGATGGAATCACAACTACACCGAGGGAATCACAACTACACGGAGCGGAACCCAACTACACCGAGGGAATCACGACTACACCCAGGGAATCACAACTACACGGAGTGGAACCCAACTACACCGATGGAATCACAACTACACGGATTGCAACCCAACTACACCGATGGAATCACAACTACACCGAGGGAATCACAACTACACCGAGGGAATCACAACTACACTGGAGGAATCACAACTACACCGATGGAATCACAACTACACCGAGGGAATCACAACTACACGGACTGCAACCCAACTACACCGATGGAATCACAACTACACCGAGGGAATCACAACTACACGGAGCGGAACCCAACTACACCGAGGGAATCACGACTACACCCAGGGAATCACAACTACACGGAGTGGAACCCAACTACACCGATGGAATCACAACTACACGGAGTGCAACCCAACTACACCGATGGAATCACAACTACACGGAGTGCAACCCAACTACACCGAGGGAATCACAACTTCACCGAGGGAATCACAACTACACCGAAGGAATCACAACTACACCGATGGAATCACAACTACACCGAGGGAATCACAACTACACGGACTGCAACCCAACTACACCGATGGAATCACAACTACACCGATGGAATCACAACTACACCGATGGAATCACAACTACACCGAGGGAATCACAACTACACGGACTGCAACCCAACTACACCGATGGAATCACAACTACACCGAGGGAATCACAACTACACCCAGGGAATCATGACTACACCCAGGGAATCACGACTACACTGAGTGCAACCCAACTACAGCGAAGGAACCACTACTAACAATTACTCGAAGTGGAACCCAGCTATGTCGAAGGAATTCCGACTAAATGGAGTGGAACGAAACTACGGCGAGAGAACTACCATTACACGGAGTGGAACCCAACTACACTGAGGGAATTCCTTCTACACGGAGTGGAACCCAACTACATCGAGGGAATTCGGACTTCACGGAAATGAACCCAAATAAGCTAGGGAAATCATTACTACACGTAGTGGATCAAAACTATGCCGGGGGAACTACAAACAGATAATTCTGACGAAATCTATGGAATCGCGACAAAGCCAAATTAATTTCTATTAATCAGAAAATACACATCAGTAAAGAGAAACTAATGCTTTGCAGAGGTAATCATAGCCATGAGGGAGTCTCATCTATGTTGAAGCAGCATGTAATATTCAGTGCGACTTAAATAACCATTCTGATCATCTTGGTCTCAAATTTAGGTATAGAGCTACTTATTTTGTGTTCGTTAATCGCTAAGGAATTTTCGTCTGTGACCTTTAGACTTTCGGAAAAGGTTATTGCTTCGATCAGACCATAGGTTGTCTAATTACCAAGGGTGAGGTTATTTTGAGATCGCTGATGTGGCTTTACTTTGCCCCCATCTGCTGTCGTAGTTGTTATTCTCGCGATGCTTGGCAGAGCGGATTGCTATCACAACCAACACTGTCGTTTTTCTACGCTTGGGGGTGCGCATAAATTGAACTTCAATCTTGTTCTTTTAAAACATATTGAAAAAAATGAGAATACTGATATGAATGAACCCAGTTTTTGCATACATCTGTTCCTTCGTATGGTAATATTTTCTTCAAAAAAAGATACTTTGCAAAGTTCAAATAATATGTTAATATAGCACCGTAATAGGGTCGGTACATGGCTATACGACCGTAGTATATAGAAATAAAATTTGCCTCCCTGGAATCAATGTTTTTAGTTTTCACTAAAGTAACAGCAAGAAAGATGTCGTGTCCTATTATACAGGGAGTGAGAAAAGTACCTTGTAAACTGCTTCCCCGGTACCAAGATATTTGTATAAAGCCAAAGCACTTAAACCAACGTACATATTGTATACCTAGCAAAGTATACATATTCTAACGTAAGATATACTTTAGATTCATAGAAAGTTCTTTCTGGCCATCGTAATCATAACTCGACGTAAATACATATAATTCTTGAATAAAGAGTTCATATAAGGGAGGTTACTCTAACAGAAAAATAATACTTCGGCAGTGAGTGCATACTTATCGTCTGTGAGACAATAACAGTGATCCAGGCAAAAATCCTATGTCGCCAGTCAAACGATCACTAATTATATACAACATTACATTTACATTATCGTGGGAAGACTTATTTACTTCTCGGTGTCTTGTTTCAGTCTCTGACAGTAACAAATATTATGTCCTTTTAAAGCTTCGCCGTTTTCATATCATTTGTAGAATCTCGAAAATGCTTTTCATAACTCCATTTGACAAGCTAGCTACCTTTCAAAATGGAGCCGTCTGCCGGCTTTCTTTTTTCACTCAGTCTGAGTCAGAGAACTAGCGCGCTTTTGAGCAAAACACATCTAAAAATAACTGTTTGGACAGCCTTGCCTTTAATAGACAAATTAGTATATACACTGTAAGATATAACCGCAAACCTCAGATCAAATTGGATACCGAAATTTTCATGTGGTTCTTCAAACAGATGTTATTCAATAACTGGCCTTAAATTGTTTGTCTGTGATCGAATACAGACCGATAACATTTTCTATGTTATAACTGACCTGAAGGGTTGTGGTCGTTAAACGGTTAAAATGGACCCTTGAAAATTTGGAATTCGTGGAAGCGTATTGCCATACGTTGGATTAAGACCATTATTCAAACCCGAAATGATCACAGAATATAAAGTATGTATAGTAAAGCACGATTTCAACGAACCCGAGGGGTCACATTTTAAAGAACCCGAGGGACCGGCTTTTAACGAACCCAAGGGATCACATTATTACGAACCCAAGGAACCACATTTTAACGAACCCGAGGGACCACATTTTAACGAACCCGAGGGACCTTATTATAATGAACCCAAGGGATCACATTTTAACGAACCCGAGGGACCTTCTTATAATGAACCCAAGGGACCACATTATAACGAACCCGAGGGATCACATTTAAACGAACCCGAGGGACCACATTTCAACGAACCCGAGGTACCACATAAATCACTTTCTTACCCTTAAATATTCCCAATAACGTTATAACGAGCTACTGATCAAACAAGTGTCGGTCTGTAATTACATGTACTATTGGTATATGTTTTCCACTAAGAGACCTCACTTCACTGGGTGGAGTGTTTACTTCAGGTGGCCGGGATCCGAGGTTCCCCGATTGACGCTCCCTATCTGTGGCGGTTGTTTTTTTTTTTTCAGGAAGCTGAGAAACGCATCAGTCTGTGTTGGTGTTATTGTGTCCTTGGGCAAGACTTTATTGGAATGGCTCTGCATGACAAGCTACAGGCCTATATTACTTAAATTTCTTAATGCAAATATTCATGGGTTTTATATAGTATTTTGAATTTATAGATCATATCCACGGGGAGTTTGAAAGGCTGCAACGACAGCGACTCATTATCAACGTAAAAGTGTAATAGAGTCCTTCAGGGGACTACAGAAATACTAACCAACGAGAATTCAGTATAGGGCTCGTGTTAATTAAACACATTATCAATTAATGAGCAATTAGCCGGAACTAAACTTCGTACTTAATATTACATTACTGTCTCAATGTTCAAGATACATATGTAAGTAAATGTATAAATGAGTTACCACATCCGAAGTGACAGCCCCGTATAACTGCCTGAAGAGTTGGAGCTGTCCCGGAGGGAGCCAGTATACTGCTGTAGGAAGTTGCCGCAGCCAGAACGAGGCCCATGTTGAGTCCGTACAGGATCTCCACGGCAAGAATCTGCCAAGGGTTGGTCAGGAATGAGTAACACAGAAATCGTATTCCGAATGACACAAATCCCAGATAGATACAGTTCAGATGACCAAACTTTAGGATGATAGGACCAGATGCAAATAAAAACACGGTTTCAACCATACAGCTAATGAGCAGTGTCGCACCAGGAACGATAAGCAGTGTGTTTCCAAGGTAATCTTCTAAAAACCAGAAGAGAAATGTTTCACACGCGCCGAGCATAAACCCGAGACAAGTCAGCGCCAGGAGAAACATGACGATATTAGGATGTTTCAGGAACACACTTAAATTCCGGGAGAAATTTATACACAGAATATTTCTGTCTATTGGGAGAAGACACGACACAGCCGCCGCTACTGACAGCAGAAATACGAAAATATAAAACGAGAAATTATAATTAGTACTGATATCTGTGCTTAACAGATCAACCAAAATGGCGGAAGTTACGGCAAAAATGGCAAATCCAAGAGTACCCCATAACTTTTGTTTGCCCCATAAGTTACGTTTTTCTCCTCCGAGTATATTTTGAGTTATAGCATCCCCGAGTCCTAATATTGGCGCCTCCGATATGTTCCCAAGTAGATAGAGAATGAGAAAGAGCCAGAAGGTCGAGGTCATTTCTCCTGTGTCAATTTTCTCCATATGTAAGCAGGGCTGGTTTGTCACGTCCGTGCACGTGACGTTACACGAGAGTTCCATGTCCACGGGACAATTCATGTTAAAGTAACTGTCGCTGTTGTAGGTTAAATTACTCAATAAGAAGTTGGCGCAGTTTGTGTCTTTTTCTATAATTACTTCACCGGAAGTGTCTTTTCTCAACGACAGGTAAATCTGCGATAGAGATATGCCTAAGTTTTCATTATGGTTTAGATTCAGGATATAATCCTTACATCGTTGTGGCTGTTGGTCATTTCCAGGAGATCCACAAAACCCTACTTCCGGTTTCGAATTACTACTTCTTATTTTACAATTCAATGAACACTTGATGCCATGACTTTCCATCCATGAAAATGAAGGCCAAAATTTTCCTTTGTTATTTTTATAATTAAGAGAGGTCAATTTTGTTGTCCGATATTTCTTGAAATCGATCTGAACATAGTTCGTGAACAAAGTTGGACAATGGACGCCATTTTCAAAATGTTTTGGAATGCAGTCATGGATGTATGAGTTAAATTGATTACAATGTATTATGGTTTTCATTTTTACGGAATGTTTGTAAATGCCTGTTTCAGGTACAAGTAGTAGAAGCAGATGGAACACGCCATTAAGAAGACAACACGTGATCAAGATAAGTTTGTGCTTTTGGATTGTGTCTGCAAGGTTTCCAATGATTGGTCTAACTAAATAACCAATGAAAGGCATCGTCCCATATATCATGCCAACTTCTCTCGAGGTGAGTCCAATGTGTTTCATGTAGAGTGTCACAAAAGGGTAAAGGCAGCCCATACCTGTGAAAATTGTAATTTTAATAATTAAAACATGTTAATGAATGGTAGAAAGATAATTGGTCCCTCTTAAATTCTACAGAAAGATTTATTTTAAATACCAGTAAGGAATTTTGTTTTCACCTAAAACGAATCAATAAAGATGGTGAAATCTTTCAACTGCAGAACTATCCTATTATAAGAGAACAATGAAATTTATTGGAGAAACGCAACATTTGTCAGATTCAAACCCGTCACTTTTTCCATATATTATCATTATTATGAGCTGCAGTTCAGTCGTATATATAAACAGACATCGACATCTGTTAGAGTGTTTCCATACATCAATTCTACAGTAATACAAACCACATCATCACACCAGATTTATTTCCAAGGAATTCTGTTGAATAATTCTACACGTACATAATTTAATGTTGGATTCTCGTGACGACATTTAACATTAAAAGGTTCCACGTAAACTTTACGAGAGACACATGAACCAACACCAACCTTGCAGAAGATATGTTGATTTCATGTGGTTACAATCTGGATGTATGTGATGATATCTATGTTTAAATCACAGTAATTGTTGAGCCGATCATGTCAACTCCGAGACTGTTTGCCGACCAATAAAAGGATACAAAGTCACTGATGTATTGGTATAGTACTTAATGTAAGGTGCACAACAAGATTATCAAAGATAAGAACAATTCAGATTAAAATCACGAAACATTTGATGGCGACGCAAACGACACAAAACATAATTCGCTCTCTATTGGTATAACCAATGATAAGATTCTCAGTCAGTTTCAGTTAAAACATCAGTCAGACATCTGTTTAACATTCTCTGTCTCCCGTTATAGATGTCATCAGTCAGACATCTGTTTAACATTCTCTGTCTCCCGTTATAGATGTCATCAGTCAGACATCTGTTTAACATTCTCTGTCTCCCGTTATAGATGTCATCAGTCAGACATATGTTTAACATTCTCTGTCTCCCGTTATATAGGTCATCAGTCAGACATCTGCTTAACATTCTCTGTCTCCCGTTATATATGTCATCAGTCAGACATCTGTTTAACATTCTCTGTCTCCCGTTATAGATGTCATCAGTCAGACATCTGTTTAACATTCTCTGTCTCCCGTTATAGATGTCATCAGTCAGACATCTGTTTAACATTCTCTGTCTCCCGTTATAGATGTCATCAGTCAGACATCTGTGTAACATTCTCTGTCTCCCGTTATATATGTCATCAGTCAGACATCTGTTTAACATTCTCTGTCTCCCGTTATATATGTCATCAGTCAGACATCTGTTTAACATTCTCTGTCTCCCGTTATACATGTCATCAGTCAGACATCTGTTTAACATTCTCTGTCTCCCGTTATAGATGTCATCAGTCAGACATCTGTTTAACATTCTCTGTCTCCCGTTATACATGTCATCAGTCAGACATCTGTTTAACATTCTCTGTCTCCCGTTATATATGTCATCAGTCAGACATCTGTTTAACATTCTCTGTCTCCCGTTATAGATGTCATCAGTCAGACATCTGTTTAACATTCTCTGTCTCCCGTTATACATGTCATCAGTCAGACATCTGTTTAACATTCTCTGTCTCCCGTTATATATGTCATCAGTCAGACATCTGTTTAACATTCTCTGTCTCCCGTTATATATGTCATCAGTCAGACATCTGTTTAACATTCTCTGTCTCCCGTTATACATGTCATCAGTCAGACATCTGTTTAACATTCTCTGTCTCCCGTTATACATGTCATCAGTCAGACATCTGTTTAACATTCTCTGTCTCCCGTTATACATGTCATCAGTCAGACATCTGTTTAACATTCTCTGTCTCCCGTTATAAATGTCATCAGTCAGACATCTGTTTAACATTCTCTGTCTCCCGTTATATATGTCATCAGTCAGACATCTGTTTAACATTCTCTGTCTCCCGTTATATATGTCATCAGTCAGACATCTGTTTAACATTCTCTGTCTCCCGTTATATATGTCATCAGTCAGACATCTGTTTAACATTCTCTGTCTCCCGTTATACATGTCATCAGTCAGACATCTGTTTAACATTCTCTGTCTCCCGTTATACATGTCATCAGTCAGACATCTGTTTAACATTCTCTGTCTCCCGTTATACAGGTCATCAGTCAGACATCTGTTTAACATTCTCTGATATAACACCGTTTCATCTTTTCGATTTAATTCTATTGATATAAACGGTGACTACACAATTATTCAGTGACAATTGTTATGAATAGAGTTAAAGGAACTTTTATGCTGACGGTGAATATCACTCCGGAACAAAAACATCCGCAAAAAAACAAAAAGGAATCTTTACTCACCAGCAAGTGTGAAAAAGTAGAACATCTTGACCGGAAGTAAGGTTCTGTTAACTTGATACCATTTCGCTCTCACCGCATCTTTACTCGCTTCACTAGAATCGGACATGGCGGTCAGTCTGAAGATAAAACAATACGATTAACAATGTTAGAGTCCATCTCACATTTAACTACCGGACGATACATTCCGAGACCTGTTGTTGCCTTCTGTCCGGACGATACATTACGAGACCTGTGATTGCCTTCTATCTGGACGATGCAGTCCGAGACCTGTCATTGCCTTTTATCTGGACGATACAGTCCGAGACCTGTGATTGCCTTCTATCTGGACGATACATTACGAGACCTGTTATTGCCTTTTATCTGGACGATACATTCCGAGACCTGTTGTTGCCTTCTATCCGGACGATACATTACGAGACCTGTTATTGCCTTCTATCCAGACGATACATTACGAGACCTGTTATTGCCTTTTATCTGGACGATACATTCCGAGACCTGTCATTGCCTTCTATCTGGACGATACATTACGAGACCTGTGTTATTGCCTTCTATCCAGACGATACATTCCGAGACCTGTTATTGCCTTCTATCCAGACGATACATTACGAGACCTGTTATTGCCTTCTATCTGGACGATGCAGTCCGAGACCTGTCATTGCCTTCTATGTGGACGATACATTACGAGACTTGTTATTGCCTTCTATCCAGACGATACATTACGAGACCTGTTATTGCCTTCTGTCCGGACGATACATTACGAGACCTGTTATTGCCTTTTATATGGACGATACAGTCCGAGACCTGTGATTGCCTTTTATCTGGACGATACATTACGAGACCTGTTATTGCCTTCTATCTGGACGATACATTCCGAGACCTGTTGTTGCCTTCTATCTGGACGATACATTACGAGACCTATTATTGCCGTCTATCTGGACGATACATTACGAGACCTGTTATTGCCTTTTATCTGGACGATACATTCCGAGACCTGTCATTGCCTTCTATCTGGACGATACATTCCGAGACCTGTTGTTGCCTTCTATCCGGACGATACATTCCGAGACCTGTTATTGCCTTCTATCCAGACGATACATTCCGAGACCTGTTATTGCCTTCTATCCAGACGATACATTACGAGACCTGTTATTGCCTTCTATCTGGACGATACATTCCGAGACCTGTCATTGCCTTCTATGTGGACGATACATTACGAGACCTGTTATTGCCTTCTATCCAGACGATACATTACGAGACCTGTTATTGCCTTCTATCCAGACGATACATTACGAGACCTGTTGTTGCCTTCTATCCGGACGATACATTCCGAGACCTGTTATTGCCTTCTATCCGGACGATACATTCCGAGACCTGTTGTTGCCTTCTATCTGGACGATACATTCCGAGACCTGTTATTGCCTTCTATCCGGACGATACATTACGAGACCTGTTATTGCCTTATATCTGGACGATACATTCCGAGACCTATTATTGCCTTCTATCTGGACGATACATTCCGAGACCTGATATTGCCTTCTATCTGGACGATACAGTCCGAGACCAATCCTTGCCTGGATCTAGACGATACAGTCCGAGACCAATCCTTGCCTATATCTAGACGGTACAGTCCGAGACCAATCCTTGCCTATATCTTGACGGTACAGTCCGAGACCAATCCTTGCCTATATCTAGACGGTACAGTCCGAGACCAATCCTTGCCTATATCTAGACGGTGCAGTTGGAGACTAGTCCTTGCCTATATCTAGACGGTACAGTCCGAGACCAGTCCTTGCCTGTATCTAGACGGTACAGTCCGAGACCAATCCTTGCCTATATCTAGACAGTACAGTCCGAGACCAATCCTTGCCTATATCTGGACGGTACAGTCCGAGACCAATCCTTGCCTGTATCTAGACGGTACAGTCCGAGACCAATCCTTGCCTGTATCTAGACGATACAGTCCGAGACCAATCTTTGCCTATATCTAGACGGTACAGTCCGAGACCAATCCTTGCCTATATCTAGACGGTGCAGCCCGAGACCTATTACTGACAGCAATTAATTAATTAGAATTAATTTGAAAAAGATAATTGAAATATGGAGTCATATACATGTAGAACTTTAATCAAGAACATGAAAACATTGCGAATCCAATTTCATAGTGAATAATACAAAAATATCCCAATGCTATTTGTTTCCGGAAACTTTCCTCCCTTGAGATCCAAGCTCATGGTTTAGAGATCGTTCTCAGATAATGTCATTATTTCAACAGAACTTCTTCTGGTTTAGGAGTTTTGTTGATGATAATCATGTTCTCCCTCGCTGGATTTGAACGATATACAACAAGTGTTACATAAGAGTGTGCAATTTAAAACATACGCACACGTTTCCATCCGGGTTATCATCTCTGTGGTGTGTTTATAAGCCTTACATAGGGCTATTAACTACAACTACTCCGTTTGATGTTTTAGGGATGAATTCCTTGCTTAGATGTTTTAATTACTAGTTTATTACTCTGAACAACAAACATTTACTGTCACCATGGTAACATTTTCCGGATGTCTACACTGATTTAATTATTTACATCATGTTTTGTTTTTATTTACATTTTGATAAAAATATTCTTACAATTTCTTAAAACAGATTAATCTGAAACGTTGTGTAGAGCAAAAAATTAAAAGTGGAATGTTGTGTCACGTGGTGCCTGTAATGTGGGACAGGATGTGTAAGATAGTAGCCAACACAATCCATGTATGTTATTTCTAACTTAATTGAGTTTTAAATCCCTCTCCGTTGTACCCGCCCGAGGCATTTCAAAGAGCACGTTTATTCCATTACCGGCGCAGATTCTGGGTTTATTAAAACTCACCGAGGTCGAGTGTTGTTAGTTTCAGTACAAGTATTGGAGTTTAACTATTTTTTTTGTATTTTCGTTGTTAAAGTAAGGAACCAAGTTTTCTTGTCAATAATTTTAATTTTGTTGAAACACCACAGTGGTGTAAACAACATGAATGATTCAAACGTTATCACTATAATGGTACTTCACTAAGTGGACTATACGTACGGTCTACAAGACTTCCCTAAATTACACACCGAGAAGACCCGTTTTCTATTTTAATGGAGACATTTGACTTTAAGTAATCATAAATAATTGAAACAATATAGAGATTTAATGTTTTCTCCTAAAGGAGATTTCGTTTCCTACCGTCGTAAATCTCTGATATCTTGCTGGAGAGTTGGCCTGACAATTCCAACCAAATTACAATTTCTCCCTTAAAGTTTATTGAATAGTGATTTATAGCGCCAGCTGAAGGCAGTGATTGTGTGTTATTGAGGGTCACGTCTTTAATGAAAATTGTATTTAACGTCTTGGATTCAGTTTTATAATACTTTGAGAGTTAAACGTTCCAAGACACATATCAAATTCCCACAACATGTTCATAATTTTTAACACAATATGCTGATCTGTTTAAACACAATATGTTGATCTGTTTAAACACAATATGTTAAATCAGTTTAAACACAATATGTTGATCTGTTTAAACACTATATGTTAATCTGTTCAACACAATATGTTATCTGTTTAACACAATTTGTTAATCTGTTTAAACACAATATGTTGATATGTGTAAACACAATATGTTAATCTGTTTAAACACAATATGTTGATATGTGTAAACACAATATGTTAATCTGTTTAAACACAATTTGTTAATCTGTTTAAACACAATATGTTGATCTGTGTAAACACAATATGTTAATCTGTTTAAACACAATATGTTGATCTGTGTAAACACAATATGTTAATCTGTGTAAACACAATACGTATATCTGTGTAAACACAATATGTTAATCTGTTTAAACACAATTTGTTAATCTGTTTAAACACAATATGTTTTCTGTTTAAACAAAATATGTTGATATGTGTAAACACAATATGTTAATCTGTGTAAACATGTATTTAACACAATATGTCAATCTGTGTAAACACAATATGTTAATCTGTTTAAACACAATATGTTGATCTGTTTATACACTATATGTTTATCTGTTTAACACAATATATTGTTGATATGTGTGTAACACAATATGTGTTTTAACACAATATGTTAATCTGTGTAAACACAATAAACAAACACAATATGTTGATCTATTTAAACACTATATGTTGATCTGTTCAACACAATATATTATCTGTTTAACACAATTTGTTAATCTGTTTAAACAAAATATGTTGATCTGTGTAAACACAATATGTTAATCTGTTTAAACACAATATGTTAATCTGTGTAAACACAATACGTTGATCTGTGTAAACATAATATGTTAATCTGTTTAACACAATATGTTAATCTGTGTAAACACAATATGTCAATCTGTTTAAATACAATATGTTAATCTGTGTAAACACAATACGTTAATCTGTGTAAACACAATATGTCAATCTGTGTAAACACAATATGTTAATCTGTGTAAACACAATATGTCAATCTGTGTAAACACAATATGTTATTCTGTGTAAACACCATTTGTTAATCTGTGTAAACACAATATGTTATTTTATTTCTAATACGTCATATCTATCTATTTCTCGCAATATTTGCACAATTACATATATTTGTTATAAAGTATATCTCGTCTTTTAAATTACATTAAACAAATTCTCATCAATTTGAATATTTTGTATTGAACATTGTCTTTTGTTTTATATCGGAGTCACGTGTCTTAATGTGTATAATGCGGTTTACAGTATTGTTTCGCCATATTATAGTTAAAATGTGTGTTATTCGCTTGTGTGTGTTGTACAATCTCCGAGATTTCAGGCCGTAGAAACTGTCTTTATCCTTGTTTGAATGTTTTATTTAATTCGAATATTGGCATGGTTGATGATATACACATGTACTTGACGTTGTTGTTAAAAAAAAAAAAAATGAAAATTATGAAATCTATTGAATTACAGAGCTGAAGCGCCTCTCCATATCGATGTTGGCATTCATTATGGCCATTTTCCCCCGAGTGGCCTGCATACATGTTAGGCCTTGTCATTACTGACCAGTCATAGGAGTTTAAACGTCTGTGTGATGTAGTTTCTATAACTCTAAATTGAAAGATGCTTTTAACATTCTCTGTCTCTATACCAGACATAACTAAACAAACCTGATTTATTCCTTTCAGGGCAGCGACGGACAAGTTATTTCAAAATATGCATTTATTTATTAATCTTAGTAATCGATATAGTAGAAGCATTTCACTAACATTTAACCGCTGGAAAATGGAAAGAAATGTATCAGGACAGACGCCAAAAAGGTAATGTAAGTATATAACAAGTTGCCCTTAATAATACCATATACAGTATGTATAAAGTGATGTTATAAATGTTATAATGCTATTCAATGTGACTTAGGTAATAAAAGGTAATGACATACACACATCCCCGTTTCCTACATAACATCTCAGTCGGTCTACCACCTGTGGTTAAGTTTACCATAAATATCCCGCCCAGCTCAGCAGCCCCGTCAACATTATATACCAATACGTCATATACGGTAGTTAGTCCTATTTATTTGTCGATATTTTCCCTATTTATTCCCGGAAATAGACTGATACTAAGATCGATACCTCGGCATAGGAGATAAAACATCGTTGTCTGAGGACTTACGTGGACAAGTCTCTCCTAAATTTGTCAGCATCCGCGAAACTCAGATTGTAAATGTCGTGTTTTTTTGACGACAAATTGAGACTGAACGACACTACAAGCGATTATTTCGATAATAAAACAGATTTTTTGACAACCTCCACACAATCTATGTAACATAGTTGCTTGTGTATAGCGGTAAACATGATCATTACAGGGGCTGTAAATTATCTCCCCAGGAAACCCTGGTGTGACAAGGTTTTCATAACAAACCAGTAAAGTATATGTCTATAGTGGAAGGTTTACTCCTCGGGCTTCATTGATTTAGTATCTATTATCAAATTTACCTTTCGAGAAACTCCACTATATTGTATAAAGTAACAGTATACGCATTCCTTTCTGTCTAAGTACCCTGTCTAAGTACCCTCTACCGACACACAGTTACTTATACTGTATACTAATAATACCTCATACCGAGGATAAATTCACGAGAACATCTTTTAGGAGTTTCGTTACAATGTCTTGCATGTCACTATTGGTATACCAATAGGAACTCATGGTGTGCCTCTCCTGGTGTAATTTATATACACTGTAATCATAACATATCCAACTGGATAAAAGACTGTGGCCTTAACGTCATATTGATATGTTGTGGATTAGAGAATCAGATACCCCGACCATAGAGTGGATGATGACCCTGTATCACGATATTATTGATCGTGTATGGTCTGGGTATAATCTGTTAAAGTGTTCATTTTACTGTAAAATTTTAGACGAGACAGAAAGCTCGCCAATGCCTGTCAGTACGTATACCTAAAGTCACAACGGATTGTTCAATAGTTAAAGAAAGGAGACAACATTAGACGATTCAGTATGTAATCATACATGTTGTGTAGACTATTTTTACATATGGTGGCTGATTCGGGACATCGTAATATCGCTTCGTTTAATGGGAAGCGAGAGTGCTGTTTCAGAATATAACTTTTGTAATAGATAAACAAAGTTCTGACTTCCATTCGAAAATAGACTTTGAAAAATGAATTTGCTTCAATCCATAGATCATATTAACTGGAACAAAACCTGCTTTGGTAGCATTTAAATAACTAAATAAAAATCCATTTCGAAGGTCGAACAATCTGAAATGAAAAAGGACTAAAATATTTCAAGATTTACTAGATATCATAAAAGTTTCGTCACGAAATTGAATGAAATATTTACTCGAATGTAGATTTTTTTCTTTTCGTAAAACTAAGTTTGTTTGTAGATAAGAAATAGTAGTCGGTGAACATGAAATTTTGCTATATCATCATACAAAACGACCACGATACTGTCAGAAATACAGAATATAGTCTCTTTTTAAGCAATGGTACCAATACATTGTTGAATGATATCTACCTCCCTGGCTTTCAGAAAAAAATATTCTCTGTACATCCACAAGTGGACATGAAGCCGGGTATCAGAGATGGTGTCGGGTATCAGAGATGGAGTCGGGTATCAGAGATGGAGTCAGGTGTCAGAGTTGGAGCCGGGTATCAGAGATGGAGTCAGGTGTCAGAGATGGAGACGGGTATCAGAGATGGAGCGAGGTATCAGAGATGGAGTCAGGTGTCAGAGATGGAGTCGGGTATCAGAGATGGTATCGGGTATCAGATATGGAGTCGGGTATCAGAGATGGAGTCAGGTGTCAGAGTTGGAGCCGGGTATCAGAGATGGAGTCAGGTGTCAGAGATGGAGACGGATATCGGAGATGGAGACGGGTATCAGAGATGGAGCGAGGTATCAGAGATGGAGTCGGGTATCAGAGATGGTATCGGGTATCAGAGATGGTGTCGGGTATCAGAGATGGAGTCATATATCGGAGATGGAGTCGGGTGTCAGAGATGGAGTCAGGTGTCAGAGATGGAGTCGGGTATCAGAGATGGAGTCGCGTATCAGAGATGGAGTCATATGTCAGAGATGAAGTCATATATCGGAGATGGAGTCGGGTATCAGAGATGGAGTCGGTTGTCAGAGATGGAGTCGAGTATCAGAGATGGAGTCATATGTCAGAGATGGAGTCATATATCGGAGATGGAGCGAAGTATCAGAGATAGAGTCGGGTATCAGAGATGGAGACGGGTATCAGAGATGGAGTCATATGTCAGAGATGAAGTCATATATCGGAGATGGAGCGAAGTATCAGAGATGGAGTCGGGTATCAGAGATGTAGACGGGTATCAGAGATGGAGTCGAGTATCAGAGATTGGGTCGGGTATCAGATATGGAGTCGGGTATCAGAGATGGAGTCGGATATCAGAGATGGAGACGGGTATCAGAGATGTAGACGGGTATCAGAGATGGAGTCGAGTATCAGAGATGGGGTCGGGTATCAGATATGGAGTCGGGTATCAGAGATGGAGACGGATATCGGAGATGGAGACGGGTATCAGAGATGGAGCGAGGTATCAGAGATGGAGTCGGGTATCAGAGATGGAGTCAGGTGTCAGAGATGGAGTCGGGTATCAGAGGTGGAGTCATATGTCAGAGATGGAGTCGAGTATCAGAGATGGAGACGGGTATCAGAGATGGAGTCGGGTATCAGAGATGGAGTCGGGTATCAGAGATGGAATTGGGTATCAGAGATGGTATCGGGAATCAGAGTTGGAGCCGGGTATCAGAGATGGAGCGAGGTATCAGAGTTGGAGCCGGGTATCAGAGATGGAGCCGGGTATCAGAGATGGAAGCGGGTATTAGAGATGGAAGCGGGTATCGTAGATGGAGTCAGGTATCAGAGATGGAGACGGGTATCAGAGATGGAGCCGGGTATCGGAGATGGAAGCGGGTATCAGAGATGGAGACGGGTATCAGAGATGGAGCCGGGTATCGGAGATGGAAGCGGGTATCAGAGATGGAGTCAGCTATCAGAGTTGGAGCCGGGTATCAGAGATGGATTCATATATCATGAAAGTGGTAACACACAGATCAGTTTATATATCATGAGAGGTAACACACAGATCAGTTTATATATCATGAGAGGTAACACACAGTTTTAGGCAGAGTACAATGTGAGTCCATGCATAAAAAAAGGACGTAGACTTGATAAGCTGGAATTTATTTCTTGTGGATAAATATATTTAATGACGGAAAACAATACTGATGTTTGGCGCTTTTCAAACCTAAGTACAAAGAGTAAAATATATAACGGATGAAAACATCGTACAACGATATAAACATCTGATATAGCTCCAGGAGAACATTTCATTATCAATCAATTGAAAAGATATATTATTTACTAGAATATCGTCAACCCACAACCTTATTGTTAAAGCTGTTGGTTGACGACATTGCTCAGTATAAAGACAATGAAAATCTCTATATTTTTTCCCTTTAAACTCTCAGTCACCAAGACGTGTCTTTCGTGTTTCTTTTTTCCTTTTATAGACTAAATGGCAGGATCCGACGAGCCCTTTTTCCTAAAGAAGAATTTATGATGACATTGTCTGGAAATATACACACGCCGCCGCGACCCTAACTAGATTAACATCTGTCGTTTATAAAACTCCTGACCAATCATCACTACTAAGATTTAGGACAGTTTACAGGTTTCAGTCTGGAGCGGTATTTTCAACGTCTGTTAAACGGGGGTTTTCCTGGTGAACATTTGACGTCCATCAGACTGCCGGACTTAAAGCTTCTGTCATTGTCCTCAACCGCCAATTACCCATAACGGACATTTCTTGTCAGGTCTGAGAAGATACGATACGTATCTGTCAGCGATCTGTTTAGTGTAAGTCTGGTAGAAGTCTCGGCGATCAGCCTAAACACTTGTCTCTGGTGCAGGACATAATCAGGACTTTGTACTTTAGTGGAATGGGGCGATCACCACGTTGTTCATAAGAGGTTGTCACGAAATAAACCTGATGGAAAGTGAACGAAAACCCCAGGAATTAGACACCTACCCAGTAAATAATAGGTAGGGAGGAGAGGGACAGACAGACGAGGCGGACAGACAGGCAGACGGACGGGCAGACAGCAAGAGACAGACAGCAAGAGACAGACAGACATATTTGTTTCGTTCACTGTCATTTGCCCTTTTTTATGAATATGTGAAACTATTTATTATTCCAGGAACGCGGGGTATATACAGTTGTGCAACTGAAGTACATGTTAGGGTGGGTGGCATTGTGATTATCGTGTCATTTCTGGTTGACAGTATTATCTAAGGTACAATGGGGGGTTGTTGTTGTTACCCTCCTATTTTACGGGGGGTGTAACCTCCTAATTTAGGGGTACTCTCCTAACTTATAGGGGGTACCCTCCTAACTGTCGGGGTACTCTCCTAACTGTCGGGGTACTCTCCTAACTGACGGGCTACTCTCCTAACTGACAGGGTACTCTCCTAACTGACGAGGTACACTCCTAACTGACGGTGTACTCTCCTAACTGACAGGGTACTCTCCTAACTGACGGGGTACTCTCCTAACTGACAGGGAACTCTCCTAACTGACGGGGTACTCTCCTACCTGAAAGGGTACTCTCCTAACTGACGGGGTACTCTCCTAACTGACGAGGGTACCCTCCTAACTGACGGGGTACTCTCCTAACTGACGAGGGTACCCTCCTAACTGACGGGGTACTCTCCTAACTGACGGGATACTCTCCTAACTGACGGGGTACTCTCCTAACTGACAGGGTACTCTCCTAACTGACGAGGGTACCCTCCTAACTGACGGGGTACTCTCCTAACTGACGGGATACTCTCCTAACTGACGGGGTACTCTCCTAACTGACAGGGTACTCTCCTAACTGACGAGGGTACCCTCCTAACTGACGGGGTACTCTCCTAACTGACGGGTTACTCTCCTAACTGACGGGTTACTCTCCTAACTGACGGGGTACTCTCCTAACTTATAGGGGTTAAACTCCTAACTGACGGGGTACTCTCCTAACTGACGGGTTACTCTCCTAACTGACGGGGTACTCTCCTAACTTATAGGGGGGTAATCTCCTAACTGACGTGGTACTCTCCTAAGAGATTGGCATGTTGTAGATACAGGCAGGCTGTAGAGATTGACAGGTTGTGTTGTAGAGATTGACAGGCTGTAGAGATTGACAGGCTGTAGAGATTGACAGGTTGTGTTGTAGAGATTGACAGGTTATAGAGATTGACCGGTTGCAGTGATTGACAGGTTGTAGAGATTGACAGGCTGTAGAGATTGACAGGCTGTAGAGATTGACCGCTTGTAGAGATTGACAGGCTGTAGAGATTGACAGGCAGTAGAGATTGACAGGTTGTAGAGATTGACAGGCTGTAGAGATTGACAGGTTGTAGAGATTGACAGGCTGTAGAGATTGACAGGCTGTAGAGATTGACAGGTTGTAGAGACTGACCGGTTGTAGAGATTGACAGGTTGTAGAGATTGACAGGCTGTAGAGATTGACAGGCTGTAGAGATTGACAGGCTGTAGAGATTGACCGGTTGTAGAGATTGACAGGTTGTAGAGATTGACAGGCTGTAGAGATTGACAGGTTGTAGAGATTGACCGCTTGTAGAGATTGACCGGTTGTAGAGATTGACAGGCTAAAGAGATTGACAGGCTGTAGAGAATGACAGGTTGTAGAGATTGACAGGTTGTTGAAGACTTTGACAAATGTTTATGGATACCATACAAAACCAATATAAAGTAAAAAACAAATGGGTTGGTCCGCGTGCGGTTTGAGAGAGTGACTTGCATCAATCTAGATTTCCATGGCTGGCGATTGTGATAAAGCAGGAAATTATTACTGCCTTTATATCACCTTGTCCCAATTGCTTTTTTTTTTTTTTTTTTTGAATGGTTTGTGTAAATCTTTCCGTTGAACATATATTGCCCTTGCCTTATCGACGTTAAGCTGAACTATGTTTTCGTTCACATGGGTTTTTATCTTAAGATAGTTTGATATACATTTTGATAGGAACACACCGTTAATTGTTTTGAAATGAATCACTAGTTTCCAATATACACAGAAATTCAAGCCTTAACAAGTTGTTTGGAAGTTTGCAGAACATAAATACTACACAATGACAAGGAAAATGATATCTGTTCAGTATTTACAACACAACATATCCTGATTTTATGTTTAGCACGCTATCTATGAGGGTTATAAAACATAAATATCTAGGTCTCTCTCGTGAAGCCTCTCGAATTGAGACGTCTGATAGCTCCTTTTATTTCTCATTATTCCCCGAAACATATATATATCAACAGACCCATCTATTGTTGATATTTTAAAAATTCACAATCCGTGTTCATTACAGTCTTAACTGCATCCATAACACCAGTATGTAAAATTTTGGAATCAGAAGAAATTTCTTCTCTATCCATACAGTGATACATATAAAAGGCCGAGGGAGTCCGACTTGTGCTCTCTTCCCTATCCATACAGTGGAACATATAAAGGCAGAGGGATTCCGACTTGTGCTCTCTTCCCTATCCATACAGTGATACATATAAAGGTCGAGGGAGTCCGACATGTGCTCTCTTCACTATCCATAAAGTGATATAAATAAAGGCCGAGGGAGTCTGACATGTGCTCTCTTCACTATCCATAAAGTGATATATATAAAGGCCGAGGGAGTCTGACATGTGCTCTCTTCCCTATCCATACAGTGGCACATATAAAAGGCCGAGGGAGTCCGACATGTGCTCTCTTCCCTATCCATACAGTGGAACATATAAAAGGCCGAGGGAGTCTGACATGTGCTCTCTTCCCTATCCATACAGTGGCACATATAAAAGGCCGAGGGATTCCGACTTGTGCTCTCTTCCCTATCCATACAGTGAAACATATAAAAGCCGAGGGAGTCCGACATGTGCTCTCTTCACTATCCATAAAGTGATATATATAAAGGCCGAGGGAGTCTGACATGTGCTCTCTTCCCTATCCATACAGTGGCACATATAAAAGGCCGAGGGAGTCCGACATGTGCTCTCTTCCCTATCCATACAGTGGAACATATAAAGGCAGAGGGATTCCGACTTGTGCTCTCTTCCCTATCCATACAGTGATACATATAAAAGCCGAGGGAGTCCGACATGTGCTCTCTTCACTATCCATAAAGTGATATAAATAAAGGCCGAGGGAGTCTGACATGTGCTCTCTTCACTATCCATAAAGTGATATATATAAAGGCCGAGGGAGTCTGACATGTGCTCTCTTCCCTATCCATACAGTGGCACATATAAAAGGCCGAGGGAGTCCGACATGTGCTCTCTTCCCTATCCATACAGTGGAACATATAAAAGGCCGAGGGAGTCCGACATGTGCTCTCTTCCCTATCCATACAGTGGCACATATAAAAGGCCGAGGGATTCCGACTTGTGCTCTCTTCCCTATCCATACAGTGATACATATAAAAGCCGAGGGAGTCCGACATGTGCTCTCTTCACTATCCATAAAGTGATATATATAAAGGCCGAGGGAGTCTGACATGTGCTCTCTTCCCTATCCATACAGTGGCACATATAAAAGGCCGAGGGAGTCCGACATGTGCTCTCTTCCCTATCCATACAGTGGAACATATAAAGGCAGAGGGATTCCGACTTGTGCTCTCTTCCCTATCCATACAGTGATACATATAAAAGCCGAGGGAGTCCGACATGTGCTCTCTTCACTATCCATACAGTGATATATATAAAGGCCGAGGGAGTCTGACATGTGCTCTCTTCCCTATCCATACAGTGGCACATATAAAAGGCCGAGGGAGTCCGACA